TCTATGGTGCTCCCAACCTTTCAGTTTGAACACGGCATTCTCCAAGACCTTCCTGTGCATCTCTAGGCTCGTGCTTTGTACAGCATCTCTGAGTGACATCTCTCTCTCTCTCTCTCTCTCTCTCTCTCTCGCTCTCTCTCTCTCTCTCGTGTTTCTACGACTAGCTCTCGCATCACGTCCACGATTCCGAGCGTTCACGCCACTCACACCGAGAGATCGTTTGCTTCAGGCGAGTATCAGCGTTCCGTGGACTACACACGTGCAGGTGCAGGCCCTCTCTATGGTCGTCGATCGAGGAACAAGCCACAAGCCACCAAAAGTACCTGCATCTATCATTCCATTTGTCTTGGACAGTGTGTCTGAGGCGCGCCCTGCAGATCAAGTGATTTGCCGGCGTAATTTGGCTGGTACATGTGGGAAGAACATCGCCGAGACTGATTCGTCGGCGACGGAGATTGCATGGACGACGGGCGAAGACAGTTTGAATTGTTCCGCAACGCCCCTGGCTTTTGCCCTTTGGCAATTACTCAGCTGTCAGACAAGGCCAATGAAAGGGCGCCCAGTGCGTGATCGGGGCTTGGGGGGGACAACGCACGCGTTCTGTGGGCGTGTGTGCTGCAGCGGTCAACTGTGCGCAATTGGCGCGCTAAAACACACTCGCATGTGCGAGAGAAAAATGATGGTTGGCATGGTTCATTTTCAGGAAGGGACGTGCATGGCACTGGACGGAAAAATTGCCGGACAGTGATGGTAAACTTTGAGTGTGCCAACATATAAAAGCATGAGCTCGAAGCAACTAGTGGCGCAACGTAGCGCAACGTAGCGAAACGCAACGCAACGCGACGCCACGCAACCCATCGCGGCATTGATCCAAGCCAAGGAAAGCCAGAGAATCACATTGTGAATCCGCTGCTCCGCGCTATCCCACGTCCCTGATCAAATCATGTCTACTCCACGGACCCTGGCTTTTCTTGCAGCGGCGCTCTGGTGCGCATTCGCCATAGTGTCGGCAGAATTCACACTGGAGCTGAAGCGCGATGCAGGATCGTCGGCACCGAACCCGACAAACGACAAGGCGTTGCTGGATGGGATTGTGGCCAAGTACTTGAGGAATGCGGAATCATACTACAAAAATACAGGGAAGCATGCGCGGTTTGTGAATTCGACGAAACTGAAAAAGCGGGGGTGGCTAGGCACGGCTTCGCTTGGTATGCTTGAGCAGAATTGGAACGTACAGCTCGAGTTCGGGTCAGACAAGCAGAAACTGTATGTCAAGTTCGACACGGGATCGCCAGACGTGGTGATGGATGGGCGCGGATACGATCCATCATCGTCATCCACGGCCAAGGATCTAGACACGCCGTTTGAGGCAGGCTACGGCAGTGCGCATGCTGCGGGGAAGGTGTATACGGATACGATTGCGATGGCAGGCATCGAGGCGAAGGACGTCTGGATCAGCGTGTCGGATGACCCGTTCCTGACGATGAACAGGGACGCTGGGCTGATTGGTCTTTCATGGCCGGTGCTGAGTTCGTTGTATTCGCGCGAGACGACGTTCTACGAGGCGTTCAAGCAGCAGAAGCGTCTTAGACGGAATGTGTACCAGTTTACGCTCAAGTCACATGCTACGTCGCATCTTGACGTGGGCCATGTCAACAGGATGAGATTCCTGGGCCTTGTGGGCTGGGTGAGCGTGAATCCCGATGATGGATACTGGAAGACGGATGTGAACATCAATGGAGACGACTACACGGGGATTATCGACACGGGGACGACGTTGATTGTAGCGAGCAACGAGAAGATGAAGAGCCTGCTGAGCAAGCTTGATGGAGTGACGCTCAAACAAGACGATGAAGGGAACTACCAGGGCTGGTACGACTGCAAGAAACCGCCCAAGATCAGCTTCCGCGTCGGAGGCAAGCGTTTCACGATGCCTCGAAAGACGATGAAGTACTGGCAAAATGGGAATGAATGCCGGCTTCCGTTTACTGGACTAGATGGGTTTTCGGATTGGATCTTTGGGACGCCGTTTTTGGAGATGGCTTCCGTCGTGTTTGACTTTGACAATGCACGACTTGGATTTGCTTCGCAGTCATGGTTGCCGTGATGTGTGTGATTGCGACACGTTGTTATGTATAAGATGAGCATGCTTGCGGAGGACTAGCGGGTCTTCATTTTCCTACTGCTTTCTGTGTCATTTTTCCTCGCTTGTTTTCAGTGCTACCTTTACGATGGAATGGCACTAGTTTGTATAGTAATGACTTTGCATAGGTTTTCATGGAATGGGTTGTATGGCACTCGAGGAGTTGATTCAGGGTTGTACTTGTGCTCGCATGTTCACATGTTCGTGCACATTTCATTCGGACCTTTTTTTATCTATCGTGTCATGACTCTGAATGTCTCGTCTTTTTCAAACGAATTATTTCATTGCATTTATTTTTTTGTCAGTCTGTCCCACGCGCACGCTCTCTCACTCTCTCTTCCTCCTTTCTGTTGACTCTCTGCATCTTTGATTCTGTCCGATATACTCCTTTCCACATTTTTGAGACCTGTCCATCACTTACCTCCTTGCACCAATCCGACTAGTCCATGTCCTTTTCCCTCGCATCTATCCAACTCTTCCCGATCTCTACTATCACTGTCTTGAGTTCTGCAGACTCATGCCTGACCATATGATAGTGCATTGACCGCGACAGCTGCATGTTTGGTGGCAATCAAATCATCCGCGATGGTATCGATTCCTTTCTTGTTTGCTTTCACGCCTTGTTTCTCAGTGTCAACTGTTTATGTACTATGTTTGGCGCCAACTTGCATTGTCTTGTCAGCCTCTCTTGCACCTACGTCTGTTTTGAGCGCGTCCATTCACTGGTCGCACTCGTTCCCTTTCATGTTGAATTTTCTTTTGTTGAGCTCTCTATATATCCCTATCAAATGAGAGACACATTATGGTCTTTCTCTTACCCTCCTTTTGTCACGTCTCCTACCCCACACAAGTCCATGTTTCCCATTCGCTTTTCTGTCGAATTTTTTTTCTTCTTTTTTGTCCATTCTTCCCTGGCTTTTTTGCCTCTTGTTTTGCTAGCTCTCTTTGCTTCTCATTTTATTGCTGTTTCATCTCGGTTCTCCATGTCAGAAAGCGCTTTCTTTTTTTCCCCTTTCTCAGATGACTGACGTCTTTTCCTGCGTTAGAGCGCCTCTTTGTCTTCTTCTTTAGCCCTTATGTGACGCTCGTCTTTGATGCATGGTTGTCCTCCTCTGCTCCGCTTTCACCGTCTGCCTAGTTGGACTGTGCCTTAGCGGACCCCTTCAACATCCCCTCTTTCTCCCTTATGCATGTTCGTGCACGTGCCCTGGCCCTGCCCTGCCCTGCCCTGGTGAACGAATTTGATTTTATCCATTTGTTTTCCATCTGTGGAGACGCGCTGAATGAAACGCAACGACACGCGTCGAGCCGCCGGACTTCCTTGGCACATGTAGTAGCTTTTTCTTGGCAGGTGCAATGCGAAGGAACTCCGGCAAACGAGTCCCCTCCATGCGGTGAACAAACACAAGCCTTATATAGGGACCGTGTCTGTGTACACGCATCCATACATCCAAAGGAAATGAAAGTGTTTTCTATTGCGGCACTATCCACGCTTTCCATCGCCTCTGTATGGGCAGGCATGGATTGCGAAAAGACGTCCAGGCCTATGTCGCTCCAATATACCGAAATTGGATGGGGAACCAGGTACTCAAACCACACAGGGCTCGCAAAGAAGGGTTCTGATTCTCATGCTTTCCTACGAATCCAAGATGGAGCGTCTCGTGAACAGTTCGAGTTCTTTGAATGCAAATCGCCGCCCGAAGGCTTTGAGACGTCGCCCGCTGATGCCAAATACGGCCAAATCCGCAGTGCGAAGGATCACAGTCTGTGCTTGACTGTGCAGGGAATCGACAACCGCCCAGTGTATGATTACAACCACAAGGCAAAAGGAACCAAGCGAGAATACGACCGCAAGAATGGGTATCTGACGCTTGAAGCATGCTCATCGCACCCGAGACGGCAATGGTGGAGTGACAGCATCAGTTATGTGGGGATGAAGAAGGACCAAAAGCGGAACCACTGCTCCGTGGATGACGACGGAAAACTCTTCATGTACCGCAACCATGCACCTAGCATGATGCCACACGGCGGTGACAGCTTAGGTGGATTCCTTACGTGGGAATCTAAGGAAGAGTAGTTGACGATAGTAACTATGATGAATGTCCAGATCCCTCTCTCCCTTCCCCGGATATTGAGACAGGATTTCATGTGGCCGGAGTAGAGACGAGAATAAAGCAGCACAGCATGCATTCGTCGGTTGGTGCGTAGCCGTTGTTGTATCTAGCATGCTCATTGGACCTAAGCAATGGAGTTGCTTGAGTTCCTGCTTGATCAGGTCAAAGATACGTTGCGTGTGCCCCAGTCTCCACGCAGGTACCATGCACAAAGCGGGTCCAGTGTGGTCGCCATGTCCTACCTTTTACTCTAATTTTTATGGCTCCCATACTCCATCTTTCCTTCTGTCTGCATCATATTCACCCATTTCACTCTATCAGGTACACTTGGTCGTGTCTCGAGTTTGATCAATTTCCACATTCGTCCCATTCTTGTCGCTGTCCTTATTGATCACAGGTGGGGTATGTGACACCCAATCGAGTAAGTAAAAATTGGCCAGATTTGCACTCGACTCAGCGTGTGCCAAAACTGCCACCTCTCCATGTACTTTC